TATGAAATCTTTCCAACCTTTCCCACACTGATTTTTGAAACTAGGGAGAGTGTGGCATAATTTTATCATTTAGGGCTAAGAACTCTGAAGTCTCTAATTCTCTGCATGTAGACCAGAAACCCCATGATGTATAATTTAAAAGAACAATCATAAACATGATCAAAGAATGTAAAGAACACATAAACAACTCAAAGAAATCAAAGAGGGTATGCATAAACTTGTAAAGAAAGCTCAAGAAAATACAAATATGTGGCTGAATGAAATAACAAAAACAAGTACTTGAAAAGTGATTTTAAAAAGGAAATAGAATTGTTGAAGAAAATTCAAGCCAAAATGAAGATGGAGTTTAAAAAATCAATTAGTCAATTTGAAACAATAGGAGAAAGCTTCACAAGAAGATTGAGTGAAATGGAAAACAGGAAACTGGATGACAAAGTTGAAGAACTAGACTTATCAAGCACAGAATGGAATATGCAGAAAATTGAGACATCATGAAAAGACAAAATCTATGCAACATAGGCATACAAGAAGAAAATTTCACATCAATTTCACTGACCAGATCTTCAAGACAAATATAGAAGAAAACATGGCATACCATCGTAAAAACGTTAAATGTGCAGAACAACGAGTATTTAAAGCTGCTAGAGAAGAACAACAAGTTATGTATAAAGGAAAGGCTGAAATAATTCATGTCCATCAAAGGAGCCTGGCAAAGAATACTTGAAGCAACACAAAGGACTGAAGATAGGAATGACAATATCCGAGAAGTTACAGAAAGAAAACAAAGGAAAGTATAATTACAAAAACACAAAATAGGGCCAAGAACACAATACAAATATTTCAATATAATTCTAAATATCCATGGCCTTAATTCATTAGTCAAAAGATACAGGCTAGTGGAATGGATTAAGAAACAAAATCCAGCTCTTTTCTGTCATCAAGTTCATCTCACCCTCAAGGATAAGCAATACCTGAGAATGAATGGATGGGAAAAATATTCTAAGCAAATTGGCACTAAGAACCAAGCAAGTACTGCAATTCTATCTGACAGACGTCAATTTAAATCTAATCAGAAGAGTTAAAGAGGGCTACTTCATTCTAATTAAAGGAACAATAGATCAAGAAGATATGACAATCATGAACATACATGCATCAAACTCTGGTGCATCCAATTCATAAAATAGTACTTTGGGATTATAAAACACAGATTAACCCCAATTCAGTAATAGTCACTTCAAACCCCAAAATTAAAGGAGTAATAATTTGAAAAGAGGTAAAATTTTCAGTATTTGCAGACAATATGATAGTATACAATAGATCCCAAAACTTACACCAGAAAACTGATAGGAATAATAAATACTTTCAGCAAAGTGGCAGGTTACAAATTCAACTTACAAAAATCAGTAGCCTTTCTATATACAAACAGCAATCAATCAGAAAAAGCATTAATGGAAAACCCCATTCACAATAGTTTCAAAAATATATAGAAGTAAACCTAACCAAAGACTTTAAAGATTTCTAAGATGAAACTTTTGAAACTTTAAAGAAAGAGACAGAGGAACAAACAGGAGATAGAATGACCTACTGTGATCATGGCTTGGTAAAATTAATACTGTGAAAATGATGATCCTACCAAAAGCAATCTATAGAGTCAATTCAATGCCAATCAAATTCCCCATGACATTCTTCACAGAGCTGGAATAAAACATCCAAAAATACATATGGAATCACAAAAGATGCCAGGTAGCCAAAACAATCTTGGGCAAAAGGGGCAATGCTTGGTCGATCATACCAGATCTAAAATTATATTACAGAGCAACAGTCATAAAAACAGCATGGAAATGGCACAAAAATAGTCACATAGGTAGATCAATGGAATACAATAGAAGACCAAATATGAGCCAATGCAATTTAAGAAAGATATTTGAAAAAGTGCCAAGAACCCACATCTTCAACAAATTGTGCTGGCAAAATTGGATCTCCACCAGAGAAGAATGAAACTGAGCCCTTATCTTTCACTTTGCACAAACATCAACTCCAAATGTATCAAAGACCTCAATATATAATCAGAAACTCTAGGAGACCCCACCAAATGGACTTGAACCAGTGTTCATTCTACAAACAGGAGGTTCAAAACAGAGGAAACATTTCCTCCGTACTTCCAAGTGAAGCCAGCTATGGTCGAGCAGAACTTTTGACTTATCTTCACATAGATGGAACTGGTAAAAGAAAGGGGACAGGAGCTCCTCCCAAGCCCATGTGACCCCTGAGGAATAGATCCTCAAACAATCTTAAGAGTAAAAATAAATTGGTTTATCTGGGCCAACTGTATGGCCTTAAACACCCAAAAGGAAAGTATAACCAAAATTAAAGGGGTCAATATAATTCTTTAAGAGTCTATGTGTATAGCTAAAGGCTACATAACAAGAAACAATGCCAGATAGGAGATCTCTTCCTTTGAGTTGTTGGGTAGGGTGGCCCAAGAGACTTCCAGAGAGTAACCTAGCACAGAACTGGGAAAATGAACGACAGAACCCAATCTTATTTAAAGGAATAGTGGCAACTGATTGCTGCTAAATGAGGAAGAGCTGATCTTCCTAAAACAAGGAACTCTAGATAGGCTGACTAGATTCAGCGGATGGACAAGCCCTGGGTGGCCATGGGTGCTGATAACACAGTAGACAGTGACAGGGATGACAGAGTATATGGGCTCCAGTGTCCGGGAGGGGAAGGCTATGGGAGGGTGCCATTTGGGATGTGGGTATATAGATGAATGAGATTGAGATGTTCTGTATGAAATACACAAAAAAATTAACAAATAAAAAAATGAGTTATATTTGAGAAGGAAGCATAAAAATTTGTTTCATGTTAATATGTAGTGATGAAAAACATTACCATTGAAATCTACCTGACTTTATATCCATGCTCAGGTGCCAAGGATCTCAGAAAGTAACCGACTATAACTAGTAATAATCAGATACATAGAGATTAGAGGTGCATGTGCAAACATCTAAGTGTTAGTTGCATTAAAATGAGTTTTTCTGTATGAAACAGTATATTTTAAAACAAAATGAGATCTTTTTTAAAAGATTAAGACCTCATTCAATTTTATGTCTTATAGGGTTTATAATGAGTTCAATATTGTATAACTGTATTAATTCAACTGTGACCTTCAAAATTTACAGCCAATTTTGAAAGAGATGCATCTTTGCTCTGGAAATTGTAATTGAATATGTTAATGCTGTAATGAAATGCTTCTTCTAGTCATGTGGTTATTAAATTAATAATTTAAAAAAATGACTAAACCAAAAAAATTGGAAACTCTGACTCTACTAGAAGAAAACATAGGTGGGACCCTCAAAATATAGATGTAGGAAAGGACTTTCCAAATTGGACACTAGTTGCTCAGGCATTAAGGTCAATAATGAACAAGTTTAATTAATTACAGTTAGTTACGTTCAATTAATCTACAAAGCTGTACAGCAAAAGAAACAACAAACGAAGTGAAGAAGAAACCCAGTGAGTGGGAGAAAATCCTAACCTGCTAGACATCTGACAGAGGATTAATATCCAGACTATACAAAGAACTCAAAAAAATAAACAATAAAATAAATGACCCAATAAAACTGAGCACTGAGTTCTCAAATGAAAAAATAAAATGACTTAGAAACACTTTTATTCTTAGTAATTAGAGAACTTTAGAGAAAAAAAACACCAAAATTCCATCTTATCCCAGACAACCTAAAATCAAGAGAACAAAAAACACCAAGTGCTGGTGAGGATGTGAGGAAAGGGGATTGTTCAATTACTGCTAGTGGAAATGTAGTGGAGAACTCTGAAAAACTGAATATGAATCTACCATTCGATCCAATTACACCACTCCTGAGCATATACCCAAAGGACCCCTTCTACTGTAGAGATACCTATATATTTTTGTTTGTTGCTCCTCTTTTCACAATAGTTAAGAAATGGAAACAACCTAAATGTTCCTCAACTGACAAATGGATAATGAAAATGTGATACTTTTAATCTATGAAATCCCAGCAATGGTGATGGCATGCACAAGTCCCATGAAAACTCAAATGAGACAGAATCCCAGCATCGATGTGGGTAAGTGGATGGGAAATCACAATCCAACCTAAGGAACTTTTGGCATCTGATGGCTGCTAAGAGGAATAGAGACAATATTTTACACGGATGGGATTTTTTTTTTGAGACAGGGTCTCTTTGTAGCCCTAGGTGGCCTGGAACTCACCATGTAGACCAGGATGGGCTTGAACTCACAGAGATCCTCCTGCCTCCACCTCCCAAGAAAGGATGGGACTTGGTAGATTGACCAGGCTCCAGTGGATGGACCCACATTGAGGAACATGTGGAGACACAAATCAGAATCTATAGGCCATATTACACATACATGGAGTTGGTTGAATTGGGCAGGGGGCAGTGTGGGGTGGTGCAGATTGGGGAGTGGATCTAAATATCATAAAATTATATTGCATGAAAGCTGTAAAAATTAAAATAAAGATAAGTGCTTGCACTCAGTGTCAGGTTTTAAATACAATCTAATGCAATTTCAGAATCCTTCCCTAAGAAATTATTTGAATGAGAAAAACATCAAAGAAATTATTTCAGAATGAAATCACACCTGTTAATTGATAAGCACAGTCTTTATATGATAATGCCATTGATGCTATTTTCTTCATATAATTTCCCCTAGGGCAAACAAGAACCTTATCAAATTAAGATAAAGAACATTGAACTTCAAGAAATGTTTTTAGATGCATCACATCAGTTCACAAGACATGGCTCACTTACATCAAATTTAAAAGATCAGGGATGCCTATAGCAACACTGAGAAACTTTGAACTCTATAAAACACATACAGAGTTGGTTTCTGGAGAACAAACGAAAAAAAATACAAATGAAAAGTTGCACATAATTTGAAAATAAAATAAATTAGGGATGAGATCTAAGATAGAAAATGACCCAGGATGATAAGGTCATAAAATTTTCCATACAGTTTGAACCATCCATTTAGCTCTAGGGTCAACAATCCATGAGGTATAAGAGGCAACTCGGATGAAAAGATCACCAAGGGCCCCCTTCACATCCTTATTCCTCAGGCTGTAGATAAAGGGGTTCAGCATGGGGCTGATGATGGTGTACATCAATGAGGCAACCATTCTTCTCTGGGAGGAAAGGGTTACAGAGGAACTGAAGTAAACCCCAAATCCTGTCCCATAGAACAAGGAGACTGCACACAGGTGAGATCCACAGATAGAAAAGGCTTTATACTTATTCACAATAGGTGACATCCTTAATAGATTTGACACAATCTGTGAGTAAGAGAGGAGGATCCCAGTCATAGGAATTACACCTATTAAAGAAGTTATAACATACATAAAAACATTATTGATATGGGTGTCAGAGGTAGCTACCTTGAGAACTTGAGTCAGTTCACAGAAGAAATGTGGGATTTCTGTGCCTATGGAGAAACTCGCTCCATTCAACAGTAGAACATGAATGAGTGAGATCCAGAACATGATGATCCAAGACATAAGAAGCAAGAGGCTACAGATTTGAGGGTTCATTATAACAGTGTAGTTAAGAGGATGGCAGATGGCTACAAAGCGGTCATAAGCCATCAAAGTCAATAGGAAATTATCCATTCCAGCAAAAGAATTAAAAAAATATACCTGTGTAAGACACTCTATATAAGGAATGTTTTTTTTCTGTATGTAGATGTTCACCAGCATCTTTGGTATTGTGGTAGAAATGAAACAGATGTCAATAAAGGACAGATTGGAGAGGAAAAAATACATGGGAGTGTGGAGGTGAGAGTCAAAGCTGACAGCCAGGATGATGAGCAGGTTTCCAAGCACTGTGACCAGGTACATGAATAGGAAGAGTCCAAAGAGGATGGGCTGCAGTTCTGGATTCTCCGAGAGACCCATGATGAGGAACTCCAATACCCTTGTGTGGTTCTCTGCTTTCATACTGAACTGTAATTTAGAAGTTAAGTTTATGAGTCCAGTTCCTTAAATGTAATTTTGGCTTACTCAAATGTTATCTATGCAAACATGATCAAATTGCATGAACTTTATTAGAGGCATATGTATATATCACCTCTAACCCAGGAGTCATAAATATTGAGTACATGGTAGAATAATAGAAAGGTATTAAAATGAGATGTTTTAATACTTTGAATTCTATGGTATATATTGGGCATTCCTTAAATACCAGCATCTGAAATAAACAAAATAATATATTTGTATTGTATGACTATCATTGGTAAATATTCCTCTTAACTGGATGAAGCAGCAATTAAAATGAAGTTTAGATTACTAAATACAATGGGCATTTTACCTCTTTTAACTCCATGCATCACTTATAATTAATGAAGTTTCCTAAGGCTCCTTCTTTTGAGGAGCTTCTTCCAAGTGAATGATTCCAAGAGGAGAAAAGAACATGTAGTCTATGAAGAGTTGGAAGAAACTAACACAAACATAATTATAATTAAACATGGAATATTCTAGAGTATGTGTTATTTTGTCCATTGACAGGATTGGGAATGCATAGTATTAAAATCGGGTGCACAGATGACCAGAATGCATAAATAACAAATCATATTATAATATAGAAACATACTATAAGCCCAACTATTATAAAAAATTAAAAGGCATATTTATGACTTGTATGCACATTTTCAACTTTCTCACAGTGATAGAAAAAGTGGTAATATTATGGATGATTGAGAATGTTGTTTAATGTGGGACATGATGTAAATCCTTAAAAATTAATCCTTGAAAAGTGAAAGTGGATAAGACTATTCTCTGAAATAGGAGTCTTGAGCAGAGAGAAAAAAGAATATATAATTATTAGAGAGTATAAATAAGAAGTATTCAAGACTGAGAAAAGAGTTTGTGGTGAGCCTATCGGGTTGTGAGCTGGGATGGGTAGAAATATGAAAGGCCAGTGGTATGAAAAGGAGAAGATGAAGGTCACAGTGTGTGAAGCTCATAGTACAGTCTCCAGCAATCTTCTTTATGTCACTCTAATATTGGAAAATTCATTTTCATTTATTACCTGAGATTCTGTTTTGTCTCGTTTTTCTTTTCAGAGAATATCATCATGATTATTAAATTCTAAGTTCTGAAGAAACAGGAATGTTGGAAGTGAAATAGGTTTTAAGCAGTAAATAACTACAAAAGAGAAATCTTCCAACCATTCATGTACCTGAATTTAATAGTCACATTAAATATAATGCATTCATGTTTATTCAGTGAGAACACCACCAGATAGATGAGAAATCCTTGTTGTAGGAATGGCTCTTCAGTAGTTAAGAAATACAAAATTGTGTCTGCAATTTACCAAAAAAAAAAAAAAAAAAGAAAAGAAAAAAGAGATCCCGGTTTGGTGGCACATGCCTTTAATCCCAGAACTTGGAAGGCTGATGTGGATAGATCTCTGTAAATTTGAGGGTAGACTGGTCTACAAAATGAGTTCCAGACCAGCCTGGTAAAGAATAGATTGCAGAAACTGAAGTTCCTTCAACACAGAGACTAAACAGGCATTTTGCTGTTTTTTCTATTTGAGGGGTAAGGCTCAGGATACACATCCTCTCTTCTTTTCCTACCTACCCCAGGAGCTCTCACCTGCAAACATCAGCTCTCTCAAATATTTGTCACTGAAGCGTTTTCATCACAATGATCTGTTCACAGAGCAGATGGATGTTTCACTCACACAAAAATGAGAGATACAGCCAAGAGGGGAAGAAGGAGCATTATTAAAGGTTCATGTTCCCAGGGTTTGAATTCTCAGAACTCTTCATTAGCTAAATTGTTCTATTGTCTTTGCATTTTCCAAATGAATTGGTTCAAACGAGACTGATTTATTTTCTCTAAGGAATCACTCTGTATTTAGGTTTGATTTAAATGTCATACAATATCCCTAGAGAAAAAGTTAATTTCTGCAATGGACATAGCAATGGAAAAAATGTAATATGTCTCGCTTTTCCAACACTCTGACTTGAGAAAGAATTCCATATTCACAATGTCACAAAGAAAAGCACTCCTCTTTTTTGTAATTTTCACTGATTTATTTTTTAATCTTCATTATTTAATTTGACAGATACAATCATACTTCTGTTTTACATACAATGAAATGTCTAGAACTATATCAAAATGGGTAAAGACTAAAATGAAAACATTAACATAAGCATGAAATTATTATTTCTGTAGTGAGAATAATTCTCAGGAGTCATATTTTAGGGATATATTATCACCAATTGTGTATGCTGTTCTGTACAAGACAGCTATTGAATGTATTTATTCTGTTCAAATGGAACTTTGGAATTTTTGAAAAATATTTTCTATCACTTGTGACTGATAATTCCCAGACTTGCTCTCTACTTCTCAAGATAAACTTGATAAATTCTAGACATGAATAAGATCATGTGGAATTTTCTTTATTGTGTTTAGTTTATTTAAAATATTATCATGTTGTCTGGGTTCTTCATATTACTGGTAAATTACATTTTATTCCAACACTATTTAACTGTGTGTGTATGTGTGTTCAGACAAGAATTTGTGCATTATACTGAAGTTATGTGTATTACAAAGGTTGTGTTCAACATTTAGGTTAATTCTATACTTTGGATATTGTGAATATAAATGCAAAATATAACAGAGCATGTATCTTTTCAACAGTTTTCCTATAATTATGACCAAAAGTCAGATCCCTAGAAAATGATATAATTTGGAATTTATTTTTACATATTTTATATTTATATATTTGTCACGTTCTTATTTATTTTATTTACATTCTTGCCAACAGTGTTCAAGAAGTTCTTTCTGTCCACATCCATCTGTAAAATTATACTTGAAATTTACAATGTATGTCCATTGTACATATTGGTAGGTTTTACTCTGACATTTCTTTATTTGCACATTAACACGAGTTCCCCCAAAACCTTCACCTACATGAAATATTCTTCAAGGCTCACTGACTCATTGCAATTTCAACAACTGTGGAAAGTTGGAAAATTCTAGGTCCATAGTCAAATTATTTTGGGCCATCTTGGACCCCTAAACAACCATTTATTGTTATGTTTGACACAGCATCCTGTGATTATTAGGTAAATCTTTTTGGAATGCAGAAAGATCACTACTTTCCATTAAAACCTAAATCAAAGATAGTATCTGCCATCGGATAAGATCTGAGGCCTATAGTAGAGACATCCCAATTTGCTATAGCCCACATAGCTGGTATTTCTACCAATGTATCTGAAAGATATCTTGATTCTTATTGATATTTTGTTGTCTTACTAAAAAATATCATGAAACTGTTACCATGTTGGATCACTATATATGGAGACCCTATATCTGTGTTCCTGTGCCATGGTAACTTGTATTTGGCTCCAGAATAAACTGTCATTATCACTGTGTCCAGGATGTGCTTGTCAAAGAGATAATCCACCATGCCAGATCCAGATATTGTACAAGTTGGTTACTTGGTCACGTAGTTATTTGACACATTTCATCTATTTATTTAGGTAGTGAGTCTCAATGAATTCACACAAGTGGGATCATTTCTGTCAGTGGCCAGTTTGTGCAGTTCAAGTAGTAACTAATTCATGGTAGTTTCCAACTGCAATGCACATTCCATTGTATTCAACCAATTCTTCCAATCATCACGGTCTGGTTTCTTGATATATTGCAGATATATTTGGCCACATCCTTGGTTCTGCAGTTTGATCAATTTCTCAGCATGTTCCCTTATCTTATGAGATTGGTGAAGATAGTATTTGGCAAAGTTCTTCAAAACCACGCCATCAGAGTCAAAATAGAAAGACATGGATAAATAGACATAGGAGGTATAGAGCTGCAAGTTGATCTGGGGGTTGATAGCAGCCTCCTCCAGTCCTGGTGGAAGTTCTGGCACACCTGTGAGAAGATGAGTTGGCTCTGGAGCTGCAGTTCAAGTCAGTGGCAGAAGGCTCTGGATATGAACAGCTGGCTAGGGTTGGAGGGGTTTGGGTTCTGTTCAAGCACTGTTGAAGCAGGAAACCAAGGTGACTTTCAGTGGAGAGTTTATGATCATTATTCATTTTCTATTTGACAAATTAATACATGCAAATAGTGCATCGCCTCAATTCTCATCTTCCACATCCACATCCCCTTCCACACAAATCTATTTCTATCGTTCATGCCTTGTGACCCAGTAAGATTAAACAGGACCATCTTTATGACCATGGTTTGGGAGCTATCCTTTGGATACTGGTCGGCTCAGCAATGGTTACAAAAATGAAGATAATGACTCTTCCTCTTCTAGAATCTATCAGGAGCCAATAGTTCATCAGTGAGAGGTAGGAGTCCATTGTTGTATGTTAGTTTCAGTTTCATTCCAGGAATTTTTAAATTCTTGCTTGATTGCTTTATATACACTATCATCAAAGGTTTATTATTCATTAAACCTATTTTTGTATAATCTCTGTAGTTTCTTGTGTCGATTTCTAGTCTCAATCCATTAGTCTTAATCCACTAAGATCTAAAATACAAGAAATTATCTCAATTCTGTACAGAACAGTTGTATTATGACACAAAACTTGATCTACTTTTGAGGAAAGTTCTCGACTTTCTAAAAAGAATGTATATTCTACAATCAAATGGAATGTTATACAATTGTCTAAGTCTATTTGATTGAGGACCAATCATCTTTCTATTTTAGAGATTAAGACAATTTACATGCATTTCTCTTTTTAAAATTTATTTTTATTTTCTGTTTATGAGTGTTAATGGCTGCATGTGTATAAGTGCACCCATGTCATGCAGTGCCAGTGAAGGACAGAAGAGGGAGGTGGATCCCCTGGAATGGGGGTTACAGCTGATTGTTAGCCCCCATGTGGGTGCTGGGATTCAAACCCATGTCTTCTGCAAGCACAGCTAGTGCTCTTAACTGTTGAGCAATCTCTCAGTTTACATGAATATCTTTTTAATATATAAATTATGGAACCAAGCTAAGAAATGTAGTTTTCACATAAAACAGATTTTTCTCTCAGACATAAAAAAGAATGAAATTGCCAGGCATGATAGTGCATGCCTTTAATTCCAGCATTTGGGAGGCAGAGGCAGGCAGATCTCTGCAAGTTCCAGGCCAGCTGGGGCTACAGGGAGATACTATCTCAAAAA